CCCTAATTATGCACCATACGACATTCAAAACATAATATATAGTTGTAAATTGTTGAGATAAACATTTTTGCTTCAGTAATATATAACAAAATATTGACTGCTAAAGAGTTATCGATTAAAGACTTTTGGCCCTTCTCAGCCCCTAATTTGAGTGCCAAGCCCCTTTTTCTTGATCTCATCTTAAAGCTTTTAAGATTTTGAACACTTTTGGTTCAACAACTATGCAGAGATTCTCTTCCGTTTTCGAGTTATTTGCAAAAGAAATATTAAGGGGCCAACCCTTCAACTCCTTAAAGGGGACATATAGCGAAAAATGAAAGGTTGCAACATTATTTTGAACATCTTTTGTTCAATATTACATATCAAAATATTTCCCACTTTTGAGATATAGAGCGTCTAAGATTTAGCATTTTGGCCCTTATGGCCCCTAATTATGCACCATACGACATTCAAAACATAATATATAGTTGTAAATTGTTGAGATAAACATTTTGGCTTCAGTAATGTATAACAAAATATTGACTGCTAAAGAGTTATCGATTAAAGACTTTTGGCCCTTCTCAGCCCCTAATTTGAGTGCCCAGCCCCTTTTTCTTGATCTCATCTTAAAGCTCTTAGGATTTTGAACACTTTTTGTTCAACAACTATTCAGAAATTCTGTCTCGTTTTCGTGTTATTTGCAAAAGGAATATTTAGGGGCCAACCCTTCAACTCCCTAATGGGGACGTATAGCGAAAAATGAAAGGTTGCATATTGTTCAGAACATTATTTTGAACATCTTTTGTTCAATATTACTTATCAAAATATTTCCCACTTTTGAGATATAGAGCGTCAAAGATTTAGCATTTTGGCCCCTTGTGGCCCCTAATTATGTAACATACGACATTTAAATTATAAAATACAGTTGTACATTGTTAAGATAAACAATTTTGCTTCAGTAATGTCTAACAAAATATTGACTTTTAAAGAGTTATCGAAAAAAGACTTCTGGCCCCTTTTGGCCCTTAATGTGCTGAGTCAGCACTTTTTTCCTGATATCATATTTAAGATCTTGTCATTCCGCACAAATTTTGTTCAGTATGTTTTTACAAAATAATTTGACTTAAAAAGATATGATGCAGAATGTCTTTAAAAATCAGTCATGATTCAAGTCCTAAATTTTGACCCCTACCGAGCTTCCATACTAGGCACTTCCGGAAAATATCATGACCCAGGTGCAACATGGCAACATGTCCTCTATCATCCCTGAAAAATTCAGCTTTCTAGCTTGAGCCCTTTTTGAGTAACGTGACAGACACGGAGGTCCTCTAAATTTCAATCAAAGGGCGATAACTCTCGACTGAAAAGAAATTTCCAAAAAAGGACTTGCCGGAATTAAGTTCAGATGTCAATGCATCAACCATGAAATTTTGGATAAAATCGATCGAGCCATCTCCGAGAAATCCTCTGCACAAATTTTGTAGAAAGAAAAATGGATAAAAATAATAATAAAGGGGAAAAAGAAACCGAAGAATAATAGAAGGGTCCTCCGCTGAAGACGAAAGACCCTAATAAGAAACAGAGTAAAAACAATATGTTCCCAAACTCCGTTTGGGGAACATAATAACTAGAAACTCTTGTTGCTACAGCAACAAAAACGGTCTTCCGTTCTCCTCTATTTATCTGTATGAATGAGCTTTTATCTATGTTAAAAAAGGCACATAATATTTACAATGATTACAGGAAAACAAACGGCCGGAGGTATAACTTACCAAGATTCTCGATGTACTTTAGACATTTATATTCTTGAAAACATTTATAAAAATCATATATAATCACTTCCTGTGACGACCGGAAGTGACGGCGAACGCATTTTACCCTATGTCTGTTGCAAAATCTTCATGGTAAGTAAAGTGTCTTGGTCTGTTACAGTTTAAGAGATCTTGTAATGTTAACTTCTTATTTTGAGGACAAGAAATCACGTGTCCGGAAGTAAGTAAAAAAAAAAAAAGAAGATATTTGAGGTTACTCTAGACATTTGCAGTCTGAATAACATATCCTAAAATCATTTCAAATACTCTTTTTATAAAAGATATTTATAGGATAGTAAGATACTCGATTTATGCAGTTTTTCTCTAATAGCCGGAAGTTGTCGTTTTTGTTTCCAGTGAGACTGACAAATTTGGAAACTATAAATAAGATGCTATAAGGTAATACTTGAAAAGTTGAAAATTTTGATTTATCTGATTACTTCCTGTGACAACTGGAAGTGACGGCGGACGATCTTAAACTCAATGGACTTGTCTACTCATCAAGGTCTACCATCCCTATTAGTTTGGTGTCTTAATCTCTTACCGTTTACGAGACCTAGCTATGATAACTTCTAACTCTGAGGACAGGAAATCACGCGACCGGAAGTGAATTTTACAAAGATATTTGACGTTACTGTAGACATATGGAGTCTAAATAACATATCCAAAAATCTTTACAAATACTTTATCCTTAAAAAGAATTTATGGGAAAAAAAAATACTCAAATTATGTAGTTTTTCTCTCATTGCCGGAAATTGTAGTTTTTGTTTCCGTTGGGACTGATTTTTTTTAAAACTACAAATAGGATATTATAATATGATGCAAAAAAAGTTTCATAAAAGTAAAGTTGAAATTCTCGATTTCTTTGATCACTTCCAGTGACGACCAGAAGTGACGGCGGACGATCTTATCTCCAATGGTTTTGCCTACTCATCAAGATCTACCACTCCTATAAGTTTGGTGTCTTCATCTCTTACCGTTTACGATATCTCGAGGAAGGAAATCACGCGACCGGAAGTGAATTTTGCAAAGATATTTGACGTTACTGTAGACATTTGCAGTCTGAATAACATATCCAAAAATCATTCTAAATACTTTATCTATAAAAAATATTTATGGGAAAGAAAAATACTCAAATTATGTAGTTTTTCTCTTGTAACCGGAAGTTGTCGTTTTTGTTTCCGGTAGGACTGACATATTTCAATATTCAAGTGGATTTGCCTACTTATCAAGATCTATCATCCCTGAAAGTTTGGTGTCTTAATCTCTTACCATTTCTGAGATCTCACTCGGATCAAATATTTTTGAAAAAAGCGGAAATCGAAAATATCTGATGACCGGAAGTGAATTTCGAAAAAATGAAAAAAACGTCTCGGGGTATTTTCATTCTTAATCATCCCTGAGAATTTCAGAAAAATCCGTCCAGCCATCTCTGAGAAATCTTACCGACAAAATTTGGGGAAAAAAAATAATAATAAGAAAAAACAGTAGAATCACTATAAGGTCTTCCGTCTGAAACGGAAGACCTTAATAATAAGAATAATAATAATAAGAAACAGAGTAAAAACAGTATGTTCCCCAACTTCGTTTGGGGAACATAATAAAGAAATAGGACATTGCAGCAGTGGCAAAAAAACCTCGGGTATTGAGGCGAGATACTGGGGGCTCAGTGTAGATCTGAAGAAAGAACGAAACTCCTAGTATCCGCCAGCAACAGGAACCTGGGGCAAGGTACTCTGTGCTTTGCGTAAAAGTAACTTGTCGATTCCAATCGGAACATCACTCTGCTTTTTTCGTAAAATTAAAATGTAAAATAATTTTAATTTAATGACTGATTTAAATGATTTAATAAATAAATTTTAATAAATAAATCTATCTAAAGTTTGAGAATCAGCTTTCAAAATGAAGTTTAATTTATTCAATTTCATGGGAATTTAATTGTTAAATTATTTAAATCAGTGTCACCCTTTCCTTGAAGACAAGTCTTGCAGTGTAAAACGTATCACGAGAATAATTTCTCCGTACGGTAAACATGCTTTAAAGTGCATTTCTATATGCTCCCCGAAAGTCGCCTATTGTTTGCAGTCCGCTGTCCGTAGTACGATGTCAGGCGTCTGAGATTCCGAAAATGTTCAATAAACGATCAGCGTATTAAATATCCGAAGTTCGCGTGAGTTCGTAACTCAGCGCGACTCCTGTAGGTTAAAAAAGATATATATAACTTTTAGCTCACCTGAGCCGAAGGCCCAAGTGAGCTTTTCTGATCACATTTTGTCCGTCGTCCGTCCGTCCGTCTGTCCGTCCGTAAACTTTTCACATTTTCGACTTCTTCTCAAGAACTACTTGGCCAATTTTGACCAAACTTGGTACAAAGCATCCTTGGGTGAAGGGAAATTTAAATTGTTAAAATGAAGGGCCAAGTCCCTTCACAAGGGGAGATAATCAAGAAAAGACAAAAATAGGGTGAGGTCATTAAAAAATCTTCTTCTCAAGAACCACTGGGCCAGAAAAGCTGAAACTTATGTGGAAGCTTCCTTGGGTAGTGTAGATTCTAAATTGTTCAAATCATGACCTCCGGGGTAGGGCGGGGCCACAATGGGGACTCAAAGTTTTACATAGAAATATATAGAAAAAATCTTTGAAAATCTTCTTCTCAAGACCCACAGGGCCAAAAAAGCTGAAACTTATGTGGGAGCACCCTGGGGTAGTGTAGATTCTAAATTGTTCAAATCATGACCCCTAGAGATAGGACGGGGCCACAATGGGGAATCAAATTTTTACAGAGAAATATATAGAGAAAATCTTTGAAAACCTTCTTCTCAAGAACCACAGGGCCAGAAAAGCTGAAACCTATGTGAAAGCATCCTCAGGTAGTGTAGATTCAAAATTGTTCAAATCATGACCCCCGGGTATAGGGCGGGGTCACATTGTCATTAAGGAACAATTCCTTTCTTTCCTAGTCTAGAGCAAAGGCTCTCACCACTGCACCTTGCGTTTTAGGTACATGTATAGCTTAAAGTTGCATTAAATGGGGTCTATATATTAATTAACTACGTAAAGCAACTCCCAAGCAATTTTAAACAAATAATTTTAAAACAAGTGGTTTTATGTAAAATATTGCGGCGTTACAAAATTGATGAATTAATTTTGAAATTTTTCATGTTGCTTACATTTAAAATTTAGATTTAAAATATAAGTGCTTGTAATAAATTAAACAATGCATGAAAGTTACAAATATAAATGAATACTATTATAGACAATGGAGGCAAGTGTAAAAGTAAAATAAAATTTATTTATTGTTGTTGGCGAACGAATATGTGCATTTGGTCGTAGCTTTATTTTAAGTCGTCTAAACTGCAGATAGATAGGAATTGTTGTCCTCGGATTGTTGACACATTTCGATATAACTTGATTGCATGATTTCCGTTTTATCATCGTCCTTGTCTTGAACTTCCACCTTTTTGTTATTAGTATTACTTGGACCATCTTCAGATTCAATTATCTCAATATAAGTTGTACCTTCTTTCGGTGAAAGTCCAAAATCGGTCTGATTTCTTAGAAATGACGGGTGACTCTTGAATTTAGTTGTTGTATCCGAGTCAATTTCTTCATAAATTGAATGCGCGTCTTTAACTTCGTGAAATGTACAATGATTCTTAATCCTGCCCTGGTTAGAAATATTCTCCTTCAAATGAGTGTATGAATCTGAAGACCGTCGGGTCATATTCTGACCTTGTGACTTTGCACTTCTTTTCTTGCAAAATGCACCCCTTATTTTTTTTCCGCAGCAAATAAATATTACAATGATTGCAATAATAGTACAGAACAAACTGAAGACTACAATTAACCATTGTTTGTGAAATCTAAACAGCACTTGCTCTGATTCATTTTCTGCGTTAGATTTAGTTGCCTGTCTGTAAGTTTCTGAAATTCCTGTTGTGCTTTCCGAGAACTCCTCTTTTGTTGCTACAATAAGTAGTAATGTGTAAAAATTTACTTTTTTTTTTTTTTTTTTTTTTTTTTTTTTTTTTTTTACAGATTTTCATCTCTTTTCACAATTTTTTTGTATGAAAAATTAAGAGATATTTTGTATCCGTCATTTTGCTATATGAAATTAAGACTAACGTCATTTAGAAACTTACATGTTATCACGCAGCCTAAGGAGAAATCACACAATTCAGGTGGACATTTACATTCTCCTTGACACTCCACTCCAAAGTTAGGATATCTACACGTTTTACTACAATTTATTCCATCAAATCCAGGTCTGCACGCTTAAAATATTGTAAAAAAAGTTCAAGGCTGAAATAAGATCTTATAAGAAATGAGAGGATGAGATGAGAAAGGTAATTTATGTACATGTAATATTAACAGGAAATGGAAGGAATTTGATTAAGAGAAACGAAAGGTATTCAATTCGGTTTGTCTGTCCGTCATTCCGTCTGTCCATCTATGTGTCTGTATTTCAACTCTATGTGTTTTACCCTTTCGTTTCCACGCGATATCCGGAAGAGCCTTTCAGCATTTACAATGAAATTAAAAAAGACAACTTCCTATGATCTGAGGAAAACACTAATGGATTTTAAGGTCAAAAAGTCAAAGGTAAGGTGATAAATGCAAATATTCTCCATATATTCACAATTTCGTTTCTGTGCATTATCTAGAGCAGCCCTTGAGTTTTATACCATAACTTTCTAAGACCCCCCCTTTTTTTAGGTCAAAAGGCCAACTGTCAAAGTTGCAAATCTGTGTGTTAAACTTTCATTTCCGGGAAATATCTCAAACAGCTTCGTAGGTTTTGCAATGACTAATATAATTTTCCCATCTACCCACCAGATCTTCTGAAAGTGCCCACTCTTCCTACCCCCACCATCACCCTCCGATCCGTGCATTTTCTTCTGTTTTCATTAAGTAGGGAACACATATTGTCTTTTGATATTGTAAGAAAAGACAAAAAATAAGTCTCCAATGGAACATTTTCCTTTGTTTTTTTAATACATTGTGAAACAATATTCTTGATTGATTTTTTAAAGAATTGATTCAACAAAGGTAAATTACAAAGCGTTTGGAAGATGAAAGATCAGCATAAGCAAAAATGAATTTTAAAGTTGGAATGACATCCATTTAGTTGAAAAAGATAAGATTATAGTTCGAATTAACATTATTAAAGCTGGAAATCCAGGATTGAAGATGGAAAAGCAAACTTGAACATTAGTATCATCAACGTTAAAGTTGGGGAAATGTAACACCATAAAAAGCCCTGTGAAACTAAAAGATGACAGTGCATCTACATATTATCTCTGTTATCAATAAACTTCATAGTATTGTCTTACGTTTGCAACTTTGGCTCAAAGAATCCCATGAGAATCCAAAACAACATTCAGTTCCAGATGTGCTATGGAAAGATAAATAAAAGTTATAATTAAAAGCATATACATTTTTGTACATGATAGTGTCAAATAAACAATATTATTTAAAATAAATTACCCTGCACATTTTGATTGCACATGATCTTGCAAACAAGCAAATACTATCAGTATTGGCATGAAATAATTCATTCCAAGATTAAATAAATTGTATCTAGCAAAACCGATTTTGCATATGATATTATCTAAGATATGTTCTTCCTGATATTGAGGAATATGAATTTCCGCACTTGATAACGTAAAATATGAAGGGATACTCAATCTTAAACTGAAGGAGTTTAGCAAAACTTTTCTAAACCCTTCAAGTGAGAACTAATCCTCTTTTTTTTAAAATATTATTTGAAGCGATATCCGATTCAGAATTAACATTAATCTTAGTTTTTAAAAAAAAAACTATGTTTTCTTTAAATTTCGTATTTTCAATTTAATTCTTAAAATTCGGATTATATTTGATAAATTTAAGACACTGGTTTCTCTAGATGAATTTCATTTTACTATGCATTCTAATTAGCGCTTTTTGTTTTTCAGTAACTTAATTTCTCTTCGTTAATAATATTGTGTACCACAGAATAAAAAAAAAAATTAAATATTAGAAGTTTCAGAAACATCACCGTATTAAACATCCCTCACTTTTCGAAAGCATTAAATTTGAACATCAGCAGACAACAGGAAGTACATTTATATGTACATTTAGATTAACTAGATGGGCGATTATCTTTAAAAACTGCAAAAACCATTCGAAAGAAGGGTATGGCATCATCATTCAATCATTAAAAAATAATATTTTGCATGTAAATTTTATGTTATTTATAAGTGGTTTTTTCGAACGACAGTGTCAGCTTTTCGGTGTTAGGAGTAACAAGCGTCTGTTTCTACTTTAGACCACCATCAATTTAAAATGGATACCAACCGACAGAAAACGACCAACGAGACCAAAAAAAATATTTAAGAGTTAATTGAAAGCGGTTTAAAACTAAGTGAAATAAATGTATCTTAAGTATTGAAAATAAGTCCAGTGACAATCTACATGGTTTGAAAGCGGTATCATGACAGAGAGTCTTTTGAAACTTGCCACTGTTATGGATATTTAAAAAAATGGATGATAGGAGTTGTTTCACTCTTAATTGCATCATGAGAAGGAATTGGACATCAACTCTAGTCGATATCACTAACGATGCAATCCAGAGATCAATTCATAAGTATGATCTCAGAAAGCGAGCTATCGCAAAAAAGTTGGTGTTGTGTAAGAAGGAGACATACCAATAAATAGAGTTTGTCGAGGTTCTTGGGCCAGAAGTAGGTTTACATGGGCAGTAGCCCAAAACGGGAGTAAGATCATATTAAGTGATATAATGGCAGTAAACAAGAGTGGCTGTTGGGTTGTAAATTCTGGAGTACAAATCGAGAGAGGTACCTTCCCGTGAGCATTGACCACATGAAGCTTCATTCTGGCAGAATCTTGAAAGTAACGGTGAAGGGTTGTATTACTTACAATGGCCAGGGATTATCAACTTTAGCAGACGTAAATATGGACAGTGAGAAATACGAAAATGTGTTATTTGAGAATCTAAGGCCAGTCATAAATATAGCCAACCATTTCACTAACAAATCATAGTGCGGATGCGGCCACTGCCTTAGGCCTGTCGTATGATAAATTCACTACCCTAAAATCAATTATGGATGACATTTTACATAAAATTGAACATTATCCAGTATTATCAATTTGAAGGTTAATATTTTCCATTTCTGTCGAATGTGGATCTTTCAAAGATATCGTTAATTATGCATTATTCATCATTTAAAAATTTTACCATCCAACATTATACATTGTGAATACGTACATTATGCACTTCAACAATTTTCAATTGCAAAGAATATTTAGTTTAATCATAAAAAGCATTTTCGTTGTAGAAATAAAACTTGGTCCGCCTCTTCCTAAATATAAATAGCGTTAAATGTTTCGAACTTTACATCAACAAGTGCATCGTGACCATTGACTTGTTAGTACTTCCTTCTGCAGGATTTAACAACTAAGACGCAAAATAGTGAGTAAAACTGTAGTTTTATTCTCTCAAACAAATTTTAAATCGTATCTTGGTTCATTTTGTGGTATCGTAAAGAAATGTAAAGCTTATGTGATACCTTGAAGTTAATATGATTTCTCATACTGGTATAAATAAGACAACGCCTTATTTTTTTTTAACTTTAAAAATATAACGTTGTCATTTGAAAATATAAATAATCTAAGAAAAACGAAGGATTTTCTTTTAAAATGAAGTGCAAAAGTATTAACAGGGAATAGTTCATATTTTTGTATGCAACTGGAAAAGTGCATTTTTTAATCCTAATACGACTTCAGTGAAACCCCCTTCTTCTACAACTGGTATTTGAAAAAAAAAATAATGACATGAGGGCTATGAATACTTGCACGTACTAGCAAATACCCTTGCTTGGTGCGTATCATGTTTACAAGATATTTCGATTTTATTTGAAATCATACTTTTTGTGCAAAACTCTTATTTGTACACAAAAATTGTTGGAAAATGCTTTTCAATAGGTGTAATTAGGTGCCATATGCACAGAAGAGTTAGCATCTCTTGCTGACGGTCACACTCATCATGTATCCGTAAGCATTATCAAGACAAAAGTAGCGGGGAGCTCGTAAATAGGTCATTGCGAAGAAAAATGGCCTAACAATTAGCATGAAAAGAAGAAGGTACAGTTTGGGCTTTATTGTGCCCTGAAAACATAATGTTCTAAAAAGTTGTGAAATTGTCTTTAACAAAAGTTAAGTAAATGTTTATGATAAATCATTAAAGAATAAAGCATGAAGGAGGACCGTTTTGGAAATACGACGTCATTAATTTGGTATTTTTCTAAGTTTAAGTCTAACCCTCAGAATGACTCATTTCTGTGCATATTTTCCTTTAAGAAATAATGTCTACAACCGTCGCCCACTTCAATTTTTGGTTATATTATAGAAATTACTTTGAAGAATCACATTTCTGAAAATCGTTATGGGTGACGGTGGTAGAGTATGTTTTTCGAATTCAAAGAAAAATCCAAAGAAAATTGATGTCTTCTGCAATTTTTTAAGAAAATAGGGTAAATGCACAAGTTAAGGACGTCACAATTAGCATTTAGGAGGTCATATGAGAAAAATGATTTCTGTATTCTTACTGCTTGGAATTTCAATGAATTAGAAAGAATAGATTTTAATTTTTTATATCATATTTTAGAAAAATACAGGACTTAATTTGTATTGAAATTGTACCTTGTCCTTTGAAAAAATATTTTATTGTATTTGCTGTATTTGTATCAACTAAAGATCTTTTGAAATGATAATAAACAACCATTGATCCTCTATACACAATGATGAATCCAACGTAAGCTTTTCTTTGTCCTCATTTTTTGTACTTTTTCCCTAGGTTTTGAAGACTACAATCGTAATCCTTTAGTTGTCTTCTAATTCCAAATGATGATTTAATTTTGTCAGATAAAATGCCCAAAAGGCAGGAGGCATACACCTCTGAAAGGTAACATAATGACTATTCAGAAAAGTCAAACCTGGAAAGATTAGGGTTTAAATTCACATAATTGAATCTGCATTTATATATGAATGAGTTTGGGTGAGAGACGTTTGTGAGTATGTGTGTCTAGGGTGTGTGAGAGAGAAGGTATATGTGCACATGGAAGGAGTGTAATATGTAAGAGTGAGTGATTGTTTGCAGGGGTATAAAGGAAGCATTTAGAATATTCCACCTTGACTAAATCAGTGATACATCATGACGTAATAGTAAATGAGATGACGTCAATTTTAGAACAAAAGTTGTCGTGATATCGGTATTTTATAGAGAAGTAATTTAACTCTACCACCGATGACGTCATATGTGTACATCAAATAACTTTTGAATTGATCATGTTGTGTAAATAGAATTTGGCTAAGACGGCATGCACAACGATTCGCAAAATGGAGTTTAGTGGCAAATATCGTGAATATTATGTGAAATTCATATGGAGTTAAAGTTTATAAAATAGATATGGTAATATATTTTCATCGATTAAATTCTCTTTCGAAGACAGTCAGCTAAATACGTATCTCGGTCGGCCTTTCCTCTGTCATTCGTGACAAAAAAATGCAAAAGAACAACAGTAAGCTGGAGGTGTCAAAGAAAATAGTTGTACAGATCGCAAATTGCCTCTTAAATACATGGAAAGTGCTGCTAGAATCCCGAAGCAAGCATGGTTTCACGAAAAATCTCGGGTCATATGTATAAAATTCAAAACATCGGGTAATGAATGATTATGTTACTGACTTGACTGTGGGATTCTAGCAGTCCGGCAGGATTGTTAAGGCATAATAGATGTTTTTGACTAGATTATTTACTCAAGGAAGTTGTTTAACTCCGTGGAACAGTTGTTTTGTTTGCTTTTTATATTAAGGGACATGAAGTCACGTCACGTGATGCTGTGGTGATAATGCAAGTCTTTACGTTAGACACTCTTTTATCGTCATGCAATAGTTAATAATAGTTGACATTTATCACCGGTTTTGCATTATATTCGATTTTATGATTTACTGTACTATAATATTTCCATTTCTAATTTTTTTTCTCTTTGACATTTATCACCAGTTTTGCATTGGAAAATTGTCAATCTTAATTTTCCGTAAAGTCGAAATTTCCTGAAAAATGATTTCTATGCTTCCTTAGCGTATCCGCGTTTGTGCTCGTGCTTCACTTATTTATCTTAAGGATATAATTATAAAATATTTTGTTTTCTCATGTCCTTGAATGTTTATAAGAAGGGGGTCTGTTGTTAATTCATTTACATGTTATAAGGCGTAAACCAATAAAACGACTGTAAATACATTTTGACAGTCTTCCGGCAGTATTCAAACATGTGCAATGAATATGTCTTTGTGTGTACAGTCAGTTCATTGTATTTTTCATTTGATTTATATAATCCCCGAATCACTGAAATCCGATTATGGAGAATATATCGTTTCCAAAATATTTCTGACTATCCATGATGTGATTGAAAGTGCAGTAACAACATAATGTACATTAATATGATATAAGAATGTATGTCGATTTTATGATTTACTGTACCATAATATTTCCATTTCTAATTTTTTTCTCTTTGATAACTCGTTGAAAGTTAGGGAGTTTATTTCTTTATAATTCTACCGCAGTGTATATTAGGAAGGTCGATAGGTTAGGAGCTAAGGAGGCCAAATACGCATGCAAATTCAGTGCGCATCTTGCTCTGTGTCTGACGCTAAGGAGACAAAACATACATGTTAATCTTGTGCGGCTGCCTTTGTGTTTGAGGTCAGAGGACTAATGAAATTGGCATTGGAGTCTTTGTAAGTCAATGTTTATATTTTTAAATCTAAATCACAATGAAATGGACATATAAGGAATCTCTGTCTAGTTAGTATAGTACGCCAGGGACTTTAACGATAGTGGGAAACATGGGATAATTCATGCATATCGGGCTTCGCCCGCTATGTAAATTATTCCATGTTTCCCACAATCGTTGATGCCTTGGCATATAATACTAACTAGACAGTGAATCCTTAAATATGTACTAGGTGGTTACTTAAATTCCTGATTATCCATTTTAGCTCACCTGAGCCGAAGGCTCAAGTGAGTTTTACTGATCAAAATTTGTTCGTTGTCTGTCGTCGTTGGCGTCGTCGTCGTTGTTGTTGTTGTAAACTTTTCGCATTTTCGACTTCTACTCAAGAACCACTGGGCCAATTTCAACCAAACTTCCCACACAGCATCCTTGAGTAAAGGGGATTAAAGTTTGTTAAGATGAAGGGCTACGCTCTCATTCAGGGCGAGATAATTGAGATATAATGAAAATTTGGTGGTACATGTATGTTTTAAAAATTTTCTTCTCATGAACCAAATTTTGTTCAAATCATGACCCATGGGGGTAGGGCCAAGCCACAATGACCGCCTTAAGTTTTACATAGAAATATATAGGAAAATTCTTTAAAAATCTTCTTCTCAAGAATAACAAAGCCATGATTGGTCTTTGGACTACTTTTGAATTTAAACTTTTCAATAATAAACCAATTTCTACTTTTTCCTAGCTACAGTGCTCAGGTGAGCGATGTGTCCCATGGGCCTCTTGTTTTCACACATTATTTATTGTATATGACAATTTTTTGTAACTTTCATCTAAATTGTAGATGTGGCATATTTCCCTTGTTGTTATCCTTTTAGGAACAGCGGTAAGTAGGTTGGATTAAGTAGACTCTTTAATATTAAATAGTCATTATCTAGGACATAGCTCTTAAACAAAATTAACAACTATTTGGAAATTGTCACGAAAAGTATACTAATGAATAATGTTATCCATCTAGTATTAAGTTCTTATTTTATCTTAGTTCAAGATATTCTTACCTTTAAATAGATTTTAGGAATTCCACAATAAATACATGAATAAAATCATTCTTGCTTTAATTATTTTGGAAGCTTTTTTATGCTCCGTATTCGAGGATTCGGGTATATATATGTAGTTTTTGCCCTGTCTGTGCAACTGTCCATCTAACCAGCTGTGTTTCTGTTTGTTAATCTACTTGTCTGTTTGTCTGCAAAAACTTTTACTTCTAATAAACAAAACTTTTTTTCGATTTAGGCAATGATTTTGGTGTTTCACGTCTGACAAAACCTTTCTTTGGGTACCATCAAGATTGACCTTTTGACCTTCACTCTGACCCAGTTTTGCAAACTTTTGTAAACCTTACCCATGTCTTTTTTTTTTTTAAATTAGTGCTAAAGCTTGTTTACTATATGTATAGGTGTATTCTTTGACGTTGAACTTGGAGTTTGACGACTTTAACTTTGACCATAGCATTTGAACAGATGAAGCGTGGGCTTTCAAATCTTTGAAATTTTACAAGTACATTTCTTGTGAGAATTTACTTTTGTTACCAACATTTTTTTTTTTGCATTTGAGAGAGTATCGCCTCCACTATAAATTGTTATATAGGGGCATCAGTGTTTCACAAACAAATGTTTGTTTTTGGTTTTCTTTTCATTATTCAATAGTGTACAGTATCCCTAAACATTACCCGCTTTTGTCTTAATAATTTTAAATGTCCAAAAGGATCTCAATTAAAACTTTCTACTGAATTGAGAGATAGCTATTTTCTACTTGACCTGGTATTTAATGAAATAATAATTAGATAATATTGTGCTTTAATTTTCAATGTGTTCTTAGAAGTTTGGTCTCGTAAGGACTACCTGTTTAGCTTCAGTTCCAACAATTCACTACGTAACATCCTGTCCCAGTAATGAAAAGTCATGGAAAGAAGCAGAGCTTAAAAAGAATTGTGAAAGTTTAGCCAATATTCAGCAATGTGTTAAAGAGCCTTCGAACTTTACGTACCATTGTCTTGTGAATCGCTATTTGAATGCAACATTAGAGGTGTGTGCACCGATCCGTTTTGTGTCAGGTAATGTAATCTTATTCATAAAACTATAATTGCATTTGTTCAACAATATTTAAATCGTAATCATGATTGCATTAACAAATAACACATTTTTATAGGTTATTGTGCCGATTTCGATACCATACAAAATAAAGTGACGGAAAACCATAACATTGATTGCACAAAGCTTGAACCTGCATGTCCCAAAAGATATGTATCTACAGATGTTTATAAATGTAAGTGACTTTCACATCATGAAAATACGGAAACTGTACTAAGATCAGGCAGTTAAAAAATAATAATTAAGCAAGAATGTCCGCGTTTTCATGAATGTTGCAGGATAACCTCCGAAGTCGAGAAATGTTGTTTGAAAGATAAAACCCGAGACGTTACTGAAGCTTGAATTTCTCAAACAATATTTAGAGACCGAGGAGGTTATCCTGCATCATTAACGATAACAATGACTTTAATTCTTTCTATTAAGAACTTTAAAATACGAGTGATCGTTTTCTCCATATAGAGAAACGAATGAGGTCACCTCGTCTCGAATACTCTGTTTTATTTAAAGAATTCTTTGCCGTATACTGCATATCTTTGCCCCCACTTTGAAAAATTCTTGAATGTACTGAATTCTATAAATTGTATATGAGATAAAAATTAACATAACTTATTATACTTTTAAAGTAGTTTCTTGATCATTTTTTTGTTTTATGACGTCACAAACTAGTCGATTTTATATCATTTTTTAGAAAAAGGGCAAAATATCAAAATTTCAACAATTTTAGATTTAAAAATTATAGAGCGCAAGTTTGTTCAGAGGAACAATATTTACATTTTTCATTGACATTATTATTCTACACATTATATCAAAATATTGAGCCTGATCAGACCTGCGCTCGGTGATTTTTACTCAAAATGTCGACGTAATTTATACATTTTTCATAAAAATCATGTAAATTTTAAATTTACGTCATTTTACAATGAGATATACTTAACAAATCAGCAAGGGCCTGAGAAGAGCAAAGAATTGCAAGAGCACAAAAACAGTGTTATATGCTATTTTCTTAAATATCAGTGGTCTTGTTGTTCAAATTCTTATTGGGGGAGTAATTTAAATTTCTGGAAGAATTTAGAAAGCATAATTTTTGCAAGAAAGTGAAAGGTTTTTGAGAGGAAGAAGCCAGAATGAGGAATTCTCGAAATATCTACATTGAATTTCTTCATGACAACGTCCAAACCCACAAGCCATGAAGAGATATTGAGTTCTTAAAAAGAAAGTTAATATTCTGTCACACAAACACTATTGGCCAGCACCTTCAACCTTTGACTTGTTTCATTTCCCAAACTTAAAAAAAAAAAAAAAAAAAAAAAACAAGTACAGGAAATAAAAGGATCTACCATATATACGAAGGATCGTACTCAAAAATTTGTTCTCAAACAATTAGAAAATAAAAAGAAATGTTACGGACATGTGTTTTAATTTAAAGATAATATTTTAGTTTAATCATTAGGACAAAATCATAGAAAAGCGTTTTCTTTTTGTTTCTTTCTGATGACATTATTTATTGAATTTCCCTCGTATACTTGTATTCTTTGATGCTGTCAAGAATAACAGAGGAAATCATGGCTACATAAGGACGCAGCTTCTTGTCTTCAGTAAAGAAAAACACACGGCTGTTAAGTCAGTAGACCTTATCATTGTTCCCTTTCTCTAATAAATCACAAACATTTTTTAAGTATTTGCTTCTCAAATACAGTTATCTTGATACAAGCAGCGCCGTCATCACAATCCATCAAATTGCTTACTTCTTTCCATAATCCTCTAACTTAAGAAAATGAAATATCAAAACACAAAGAACTGTTTTAGTTCTTTGCGTATTGCCATTATTGTGACGTTTAATAATATACTTTTTTGACATTCTCAAAATAATTATTTACAATTACAAATTATTTTAGCAGACATAAAATACTGTATAAGGATAAAAAATTGAATAATTTTGTGAAGTAAGTTTATCCAAATTTGATATAAGAGGGTAAATAACAAACTTGAAAAACGTCCTCCAAAAACGTCCTCCAAAACTGTAGGTGGGAGAAGAAGCAGAGTGACGTACTGCGTGGCCAACATTTTTATTTGTTATATATAGATTTTGATTGGTGAATCTCTGCATCTCTTAAGACATAAAAAATGACCATTATAATGCATCGCTAAAAAGAGTTTAATATTAAAGAAGGACACTTATTGATTATCAAATTTTTTTTTAGTAAAATCAAATTTATTTAGAGAATAAAATGTTGTTTTTTTTTCCTCCAACGATTTTCTTCCAATGAAATTAGATTTAAATGGGTTTTTCTTAACAAAATATGTTTTTAAAACAAAATCTGATGAAACACCATTGATTGATTGTATATTATTAAACATCCTAATTAAGAATTTTTCACTCCTATTAGGTGTTCTCTGTTTTCCAGTGAAGAACTTCAACGTTCGACCCATACTTGGCACCAACGCCAATGAGTAGTAAGGGTTCTTTATCTTGCGATTGCCTACCTTGTTAAGGTCTTTCCAGGCGCTTGACAAAGGAACAGTCACTGCCTATGTTTATGTTTTAGGTTTAATGTAGTGCCGAGAACGAGAATCGAATCTGGACCTCCAGACCATGAAACTTATGCTCTGTCACTAAGCTTCCAGTGGCCGTTAAATGAGACATAAAATCCTTTATGAAATTACACAATATGCAAAGTTAAGGTATCTTCAACCTACGGTGGACATTAACGTATGATACTGAAGAAAAATGAACGGCAGGGATACAAAACTGCATGACCTTGTCATTGATTGTTTTAAAATGCCTATGAAAGTTTAAATCAGAAAATTTAAAAATTAAAAAGTTTATGAATTTGTAAACAAATTGGAGAATGCAATTTTTCCCCTTTAAATATGTATAATAACTTCATCATTTATTTTAAAGACCCATCATGCTACAAATTAAAGGAGAATAATCAAAGCTTTGAAAAGACCACTCATTCATCTCAAATCAGTAGGAAAGAAACTAACAACAACTATGACGACCGAACTTTATCTGTTGATCACAGTATCTTGCAAGAGTCTTCAACATCAATTTTTGTGTACAAGAAAATGGATACAAGGTTTGTATTTCAATAAATGAAAGGCATAGCTCACTGATAACCACTTCGTCCTCAAGATGTGGCTTTATTTTCTGAAAGTATTGTCCTGTCACACACACACACTCACCCTCCCTCACACACACACACACTCACACACACCCTATCTCTCACCCTAACACACACACACACACATACACACACACCCTCACACACACACTCTCTCTCTCCCTTACACACACCTTCCTTCATACTACTCTCTGTCTCTCTCACACACACATACACATCCACCCTCACACACATCCTTTTCACACAACCTCCCTCACCCTCACACAACGTTTATACACAAATCCTCATTTGCCAAACAGAGTTAAGTATTTAGGATTGAGATGTTGTTTTGAAATGCACTCTTCCGTTTTCAGATCCACGAATAATGCTGTCATTGCGATGGGAGCTGTCTTACCTTTATTTGTTGCCATTAGTATTTATTTTGCTGTGAAAAAAATTCGAAAGATGTTCAAAAGTAAGTAATTGAATCATATCGCAAAAACTTTAATATGTTGTTAAGGTATGAAAAGAAATAATCATGTAACTGCATGTCCGAAATTTATCCTGGCAGGTCAAGGAGTATCTTGACTTATTTTCAGTAAATGTTTCAATCGTAAAAAAGATTCACTACGACTATTTCTTTTCCTTTTTTAATTATGAAATCACATATTTATACACATTTTAATGACTGGAAAGGTTTCTGACTGAGTCCGGTGATCTCTTCTCTACTTTGTAATCGCCAAATTCTGCTACAGATATACTATAATATTCGTCATATTGACATAAAATAAACAAAACTATAATTGCACAAAAGGGGAGTTTCGATAAAGCTGTTTTTCGACCCCTCCAGAATTATTATGAATTGTGATGTGTTGTAAATAACGTCTTATCTTTTTTAATTTATCGAAAATGTATGTAATTTATGCTGCCCATTTTCCGGTTACGTGATAATGAAAAACTTAAGCATCCCCCCTTCCGTACATTTTTATAGTAGGCATTTCTAAAAGGGAATAATGATTTTTTTTCTTAGTCAAATCATAAATAAAATGTATTAAATGTGAATAAAGACATCACATTATCAATTTAAACATGTTAATTACAGAAAATGAAGAACATTTGTTTTATGTTGATATTGTGTAAGGTGCAAGTTTGTTTTGATATATTTTTGTAAAGTTTAAAATATAACTTAAGCACTACATTAACATATTCTGAAATTTGTTATAGTTATTTTACTGATGTATTAACTAATATTTTCCAAATCTATTTTATATTCCAAGACTAAGGGAAAATATTCAAAAAAATTATCTACTTTTCTAAGCTTGTGAGTTGATATAATGTCTCATCCAACAAAAAAAGTTTGTATCATCTGTTCTTACGTTGGCCAGTGAGTGGCCTTATAGAAACTCCTTTCTTTCTAAGGTTGTTTGACCTTAAATTGGAGTTTTTTTCTTCAAACGTTGGTTGAATTTTTATTATTGTTGAAGTTGTTAAAAGTTTAAAGCTTAGTAGCATCAAAAATTACTTAATTTTTTTTTTTTCAAAACGTTTTATAAAGTACACATATGTAATTTGAAATTCAATGTTTAACGGCAAAATTCAACAATTTTGTAGCCCATAAGATGTCAAAGAATCCACTACATGATGCAAGTAAGCAATTACTTCCTTATCAAAAATGTCTCTGTGATTTAATTCAATATTTCATAAAATATAAATTGCAATTTAAAATTCGGAAAGAAGAGGTTTCCTACAAATTTCTTCGGAAAGTACGTGACATACCTTAATTAGACTTAATTAGACTTAATGTGTCCAAACCAGTCAATTTCTTTATACAAAAATGTACCTGTGGTGTCCAAATTAGACAGGATTTACTGTATTTTCTCGTATATATTACATTGTATATCATTTTGAAATTTTTACATAATATACATGCAAGATAATATAAACTTCCATAAATACATTTGATGTATTTTGATCAAAAATTCAAAATGGAAATTATAATACGAAAGTTACAATGATCTCGTTTCAAAACGATCAATTTTCTTTGCCGTTGTTCTGTAATATGAACACTGACTCGAATAAAACTATTAAAAATAATTTTTCATATAAATTATAAACTTCTCAGGTAATCCTTCCCCTAAAAACCGTCAGGAGTGACGTACCTTATACAAGAAATTTTAAGAGTAATGCATATGAGGCAAAGATAATTCTGTATTGATATAAAGTTGCAAAGTAAAATTTCAATAAATCAGGTTAGTATACAGTTACAATTATTTTATTTTGGCAGAAGTGCATAGATATGATGAAGAGGAGAATCTAGAGCTATGTCCTAAAGGTTTGTTGCGCCGGCTACACAATAATTGTTCCATATTTTTTTCTTATGTTAAATTCCAGTATAATTTGTAGGACACAAGGAGTTTCCTGTCTAAGGAAAATGCAATTTTTAAATATTTAGTAAAGAATATGAACGTAAACAAAATTTTTGAAAATATATCATAAACATTGAAAAATATATATTTGTTTTGTTCACATAATATTTAAAGGTACCAGTTGTTATGTTGTATATGCGTGTCAAAACAGCATTTTTAGGGGGTGATGCAAGTATTTGACGTTTATAAAGAGTATCACCAGCGAGAACCTCTTAATATCACAGCTATGCTAAAAATAATGTACCAGATGTGTAGAAGGTTATTGTTACATGAAAAATTTCAAACTATTTTAATCACATTTCTTACCAAAGGAAATGCTGTTAGTGAGAAATTGGATGGAGAGGAAGACGATGCCGCGTACAATAAAGAAGGAAAGACAGAACAATATTATAGACTTGTACCGTGCGTAGACATAATTATTCTAACTCTTTATTTGTATGTTTTTGTGTTTGAAAGGAAATTTGATAAAGCTTTGTACATGTATGTGATAAATGGAAAAAATTATATTCAATATAATGTTGTTTTTTTTTATTTTAAAGGAAAGACAGAAGTAACCTTAGGGAAGATGGTGGTACGTTTGTTTTTTCACGTAAAAATTGAAATGAGATATATACCAAAACATAGACACTCACTCTTACTTACACACCCTCAAACACACCTTTACACACAAACAGACACAGAGAGATAGAGAGAGAAAGGAGTTGCTCCTTACTGTTTATTAATTGTATAAAAATGTGTTACGTTTATCTACTTACTCTTTTATTGGTCCAGCTAGGAATGTATTGAATATATGTGATGATACATACTGTCGTTCTGTACATTTTATCGTCGACAACAAAATGTACCAATTTTCTCTACACATATTGTCGTCCATTGATATATTATCATGTCACTGGTGATATTACATATAGTACATGTGTGTGACTACCCGCACTTTGTATATTAATTGTTGCCTCACAGTAAAGACTGTGAGCATCGTCGCAGATGTTTTTTATCAACGTGTTTTACGTTTTGACACATCTAGCATTTGTTCTGGTTCTTGATCACTGAAATAATAATTAGATATATTTATAGATTTAATTCTAAATTATTACGTCCGGATCAACCAGGACACTGGATTAAAAATTTTATTCGATACCCGTTTCTTTGCTACATGTATATCTACATGTACCGGTAGTTATAATATCGTTATGTACGTCTTTAATGAGTGAACAATTGCAATTTGTGTATAAAGGCAAAAATGATGTTTCACGGTTTATAAAACTATGGAATAATAAATTCTTTTTCCTATGTAAGATCATTTGACGGATTCTTTTTTTCTAACTAACAACTTTCATGTAAACATAGAATCATCTGTGCATCACCCGTGCTTTTTTTTTGTAAAATGTTTTAATGCTAAGGAATTTTAAACTAAACACATTTCTTCTGAGAGAAAAGTATTTAGTATTCTTACAAGCTTTAACGATTCTAGCAAAATAATGAAAGAATAGCAGACACGATATTTTTAAAGAACTATAAAAACATTAAATATGGCAACTTCTAATTAACCTTGCTCTTTTCATATCTATGAAAAACTCAAAATGTGTCAAAATTAACGTAAGGACCTTTTTGTCATGGGGCAATCAATATGTGGTCACGGTACATAGAATGCGTGACTGTACATTTTTCCTTTTATTATGTTTGAGGAATAAAGGCCCTTTTGGCACACATTGCCATCAGTGACGATACGGTATGTGTTGTGAGGGTGGGGACATTTTGTCGCCGAAAACATGTACAAGGGGGTACAATCCTAAGGTACATTCCTAATCTAATCAGAAATCCAGATGTTATAAAATCTTAAATGGTGTTCATATTAAATTTGTAGATTTAGGACATGGAGTTGAGAGATCATTACCTAGATTTGCTTGAAATTTGAAATAAGATGAACCATCTCAAAATAGACAAATACATATATAACAAATTAGGTTTAATAAATGCCATATCTATTACAGGTGATCCTACCGAAATGCTTGCTTCTTTGAACAAAGGTAATTAGTCTGACGTGTCATAATGCATTCTTGTTCAGAATGATTTTACAATATCGCACAATTAATAATACATATTGCATTAACTATTTAGGTATCAAACGCTATTAAAATAACAATTTTTTTGTAAGGCATGCATGTTTCTACGAAAGCCCATTGAGAACTTGTTTAAAATATTTTTGAATTCGATTTGACGAATTTGTGTTAACGATTTTAATTTGTTTACACAATGCTGCATAAAGGGAGGTAACTTTTACATTAATTACACATCTTGACACAATAAAATACTTCCTTGTGCATCCAATTAAAATACTTTACAACAAAATATATATTACTTTTAAAGCTATAATATCTTCATAGATATTATATACCTTTGACTAATAAACAATAAATCATAAAATCAACAGAATACCATTCTGAGGGAATAAGCAAGCTCCACACATCATGAAAATAATGACTGGGAATCCAGATGAGATGATAACTATAAATTATCATAAACCTTATATAATTCTCTGATCATTTAATACATATGTACATAATTATCTGGATAAAAAAATAGATTAGCCTTACTGCTAATAACTAAGTAAAAACCTGACTTCCAAAATCTCGTTCTTACTGTTCAAAAGTGCTATGGAAATTAATATTGCAAGAATTACAGATTTCACATTTAATGAACTTTATATTATTGATATGTTAAAGTTAGTAAATAAATATTAGCTTACCAGAAGATGATGAGAGTCTCTATCAGTCCTAGGTCAAATTTGTCACAACCAAGATAAATAACACCTCTCTACAAACAATCTAGACAAAGAGTGACCAGAAAGACCAAGAACATTTGGAGGGAATTTGACAAACCAATAAAACACAAGAACACAAAACTAAAACCCAATAGAAACAAATGACTTTTAGAACTTATGGCCGGGACCTTTATTATAACCCTAAAGGCAAATAACAGGGTAGCACTGTATGTTACACCTGAATGACCATACACTTATCTAATAAGCTGAAATACAAATATATACAAATGAATTTTAAAATAATTTGATCTTTATCAATTAATGAGAAATTAATTAATAAATTCATCACTCTTACATTACTCTACTTTTAGATATGACAGACCGATTTTTTGATAATGCCAGGTCAGCAGACAGCTTCTACGAAGAAACAAAAGTATACAAAATAGTCGAAAATTTATTTAACACGAAAAAGGTAGTCATATTAACAGGACCTCCTGGATTCGGAAAGACACAAACAGCAATCCACTTGATAATGCCTTACAAGAAGATGAAGTGGGAAATACGTAAAGTAGAAAGTTACTTTGAGCTTAACTACATTGACTGTACAAAAAATACAATTATTTTTATAGATAACATTTTCTGTGGTAAATTGAATGAATATGCAGAATGGATGAATCCTCTTGAGAGACTTGACAGAATTATTAGAGGTATGTGTAACAACTGCAGTAAATCGGAGAACAACGGAGGAGCAATAAGAGTAGTCATTACTGCAAAATCAGATATCATTGATGAGGCGTGTGATTTAATGAAGAAAAGGGGAATATTCAGGGAGGATTATATCATAAATCTTTCAGAAGAACAATACGAATTGGAAAATGAAGAGAAAAAGAGAATACTGCGAAAACAAATCGAATATGCAAATCAAGAAAAGAAAATTAAATCTCCTGATTTGACGGATTCTTTCTGGGAAAAGGTCACAAAAGCTAGGGCACCTATTGGATTCCCTTTGTGTGCTCATTTATTTGCATTTGAAGAGACATACCACAGAAAAAGGGAAGATTTCTTTTTGTGGCCGACGCAAGCTGTCCTGAAGAAAATCGAAGATGTAATAGAAAATGACAAAACTAATAGAAAAAAAACTTTGCTCTTATTTTTACTTCTTTTAAAAATACACAATAGAAACAAAGACCAGGAATCAAAATATAAGCCAGAACTCGAGAGTGAAAAAAAGTGTGCCGATTTTCTGAAGAAGAAATGTGGGCTTCGAGATTACTTTCAGCCTCTTAACTTTAAAGATTTACAATCCATTGCTTCGGAAATGTCTTTCGTACGTGAAACTGATGAAAAATCCTATCAATTTACTCACCAGAGTGTCTTTGATGCTGTAGAGTGTTATTTTTTCCGAACATTCCCGTTTAAATGCATTGCGCTTCTCCCACTTGAGGTAATAGAGCGACAAACAAATGACAAAGAGGATCTAACTTGGTTGAGAGATGATCACTTCAAATATCTGGTTCAACGATTTATTACTGAGGTGAAGAATGGAAGGATTTCGCGTATCTGTGAATGTGATATTTTGAAAAGGACAGAGTTTATTCATTTTTTTCTTGAGGCAGTTGCATCCCTTGGTGACAAGGATCTAGTTAATTTTTTTGCTACGAAAAGTCAGACATTTCCTAAGCTACCAATCCTTTTCTGGCTGGGGCGCAGTGAAAATACACATCTTTTGGAAAAGCTCCTTTCAGTCATCGAAAAGCGGGAAAATAAAGATATCAATTCCGAGGATCATATTTATTATTCCTTATACGGAGAATGCACAAAAAGAGATCCAACATCAATAGGTCGCTTAACGGATAGTGAACCTAATGATACATGTATTAAAGATAGGGTTCTGTCCTTCAAGGACAACACAGATAACACTATTCTCCATATTGTAGTAAAGTCTGCTAGAGAGGACGATTTTGCTAGCTGCACTGTCAAAA